GTTAACACTATCAAAAAAACTTTGTAATGATGCATTTTCAAAATTTCAGCCCACCAAACAATTAGGTTGGCTTAGTAATCCCTTGTTTGCATGGCTCCTACCCTTTGTTAGCCCCCTGGTCATGCTGTGTGATGCTTGCTCACTGTTTTATAAGATTTCTTCACCAACAAATTACCGCCATTGCTGAAAATTGCTACAAAACAGGTCATGGTCAATTATCAGACTTGGATTCTCCTGAGACAGATGAGTTGGCCCTTGGGGCTGGTGATGGCACTTCTCCATATTTAAATTAAACAGGGGGAGATGTTGGGGACCCCTGCTGTTTAGGGTAGAAGTCTCCCCATGTCCGGATAGCCACAAGCTGGCTTGGCACGAATGGGGAGACTCCTCTTCTCAGCAGGGCGCCTTCTGCTCTCCTCCCTGACTTACTTTTGAAGTGCCCGTCACAAGATACATGTTCTCTGGCACAGGAGCTACCAGGTTTTAATCAGGCGTTGTCTGATAGCCTGATAGAAGCCCACCGCCCTATGTAAATAAGGCATCTTAAAAGTACCTATCAGCTAAGACTTCTTCTGCTGTCTCTACACTATAAATAGTCCTAGTTTTACCCCAATAAAGTTGGAGCTGGAGCTGAATCACTGAGATCTGAGCTGAGTCACTTGTCTGAAGCTGTAACACTAAATCGTGTGATCCAGTCTCCCCGGAGGGGGCTATCCTTCCGTCATCGACTCACGGAAATCCAGCTTTCACCGCCCCGCACCTCTCCTCGTGACCTGGCAGCTGACGGGTCCCGAATTAAGAGAGAGAGTGCACGGGTGAAATTGGGGCGGAACTCGACTGGGCCAAACTCGGTAGCAGAGACCCACAGAGACCAGAGAAGCAGGGACCTGCCAGCAATGTGGAGAAGACACCCGCGGGACCCGCCGCTTCCCAGGTGCGCGCAGGAGACCGGCGCCACGCTAGCAGCTGGCGCCCCGAGATCCCCGCTCCCCATAGGTACCATTAATCTTTCTAGAATGATATGACACCATGATGTCCAACCATCAGATTGGGTCAGCTTGCAGGCCTGTAGATAGAGCAAATCTGTGCTTGGAACAAAAGGCTGTTGCATAATTTCTTGCCTGTGGCTCTTGACAATTCACTTTGGGTTGGCTGTTGTAAGTTTATCTCCTTCTACCTGGTTCTACACAGCCTTAGTTGTGAACTTTGCCAAGCTTTCATGTCATCCTGATCTAAAAGGTCTTTGACAGACAACACAGGGTAGTCCCCAATGAAAAACTTATACAGGTCAACCATCTCCTTAAGTGTCATATGCCTGCTGGTGTCATGAAAACATGAAATTCAGGTCACAAGTCTGAGACTTGGAGGCACTTATATTATGTCAATTACGACCTCATCACTGTTGACTATTCTCTAAGCCACCAAGTACAAACACACTTTTGACCCCAAGTTTTTGGCATCTTTCCTATGTCTCTCCTTGATGGCATTCTTCAGGTTATAGTAATCCTCTGTTGCTGCTCATGGCTGTTCATGGCTTCCATGAGGTGGGCTGTGCTGATAGAGGATCACGAACCCCGATGTGGCCAGCTTGTTGCCAGGAGGAAGACTTCCATCCATGACACTGAAAGCTGGACCCGGCAGAATGATTTGGAACTGGTGAGATTTCTTTAGTGGCCAGCCAAACTGATGACATAGAAGTACAGGGTCAACAGGTTTTTAGGGACCAAAGGACACCCCGAGAAAGGCACTCAGACCAAATTCTGACTTATTTTCCATTTCACTACCTTGGTCCTCTTTTCCACTTTATCAGTCTTTTGAACCATAACACTAAGTTTCTTGCTAATCATGGAAGGGGTAATAGTTTCACTGACAAGCTCAAGAGCCTTTGAGACACTCTTTCCCACACAGTGAGTCTTATCATTGTCCTGCAGATCTAGAGCCTCACAGATACCAGCTGAGACACCACTGGGTACAAGAGATCTGAAGAGACGTGAGGTAAGAGATCTACCTCAGCAGGTGTTTCTCTGAGAGATGAAGATCTCACTGGAATGAATCCTGAGAACAGACATGGTGATTTTCTGGCCACCAGATCTCATTGTACAGGAAAGAAGTGGAGGATCCTGCAGACACTGATGAGAGTCTTAAACTGGGGAGGCCTCTGAAAGTCACTGTTACTTCATGGACTGAGACGCTTACAGATCATATTTTGAGAACTGCCATTTTATACCTGTTTTGGCCAAATACTTTAAGTTTCTAAGGCCAAGCAACTGCTATAAAGAAAAGATTCTATACAAGTCTGCCTGAAAGTTTTTTTAAACATTTTATTTATTTATTATTTATTTTTTGCCTTTTTGAAGCAAGGTCTCCCTGTAGCCCCAGCTGTCCTAGAACTCACTATGTAGACCAGGCTGGCCTTGAATTCACAGAGATCTGCCTGCCTCTGCCTCCCAAGTGCTAGGACTACAGGTGTGCACACCTCACCCGGCTTTATTTATTTTTGTTTTATGTTTATGAGTATTTTGCCTGCATGTATATAAGTGCGCTCATGTCATCCAAAGCATGCAGAGGCCAGAAGAGGGTGCCAGATCCCCTGGAACTGGAGTTATGGACAGTTTTTAGCTACCATGTGGGTGCTGGGAATCAAACCTGGGTCCTCGGGAAGAGCAGACAGTGCTCTCAGCTGCTGAGCCATCTCTCCATCCCCAACCTGAACATATCTAATACTACAGCTTTTCCGATTTAAATGATAGGTTCCAAATCTGACAAGATAACAGAACCATCTTGGATAGTCTTCCATACCTCATCTAACATACCACCACATGCTTGCCTGTCTTTCTAACATCTAGAATATAAAGACTTTGTTTTAGACACTTCTATCCCCATGTCTAGAAGAGTGTCCAGGAGAGTACATCTAAAACAGGGCACATGGCCACAGTGTATATTTATAACTTCTCCTTCTACTACCAATTCCACAACCTCCTCTATCTTTGTTTTACAAGGATACAACCTAGCATTGCAAGGACAGCCATAGCTGTGTTTCCCTAGTTTATTGCACTGTTTTGTCAGGCTACTCTGTACAGTAAGTGTAAAAATATTAAACACAGAAACAAACAAAAAATTTAAAATTCAGTATTGAAGGTGAAATGCTACACAATCCCAGGAGCATAAGTCAAATCAGAAGACTTCATTCTAGCTAGGAGTGGCAGCCTGGATCTCAGCACTTGGGAAGATGAGGCAAGACGATCAGTGAAATTCAGTCTACCCTGGGCTACATAGTAAGACCTTGTATAAAACCCTGAATGAATTACCTTGGTCTACCACCTAAGAGTGGATACTAGAGTTCTATAACAAGCGCAGAGTCATCTGGCATTTCCTTACTGGAAAGGGTAAATTTCTGTTCCAAAACTGCTTCCAGTAATTGCTATTAACTAGGAGTGTGAACATAAAAATAAAATTGAAAAACATTTCACCCCTAAGCCTCAGTTACCAAATCCATAAATTTTACAGTTTTCAGATGTTTTTTGTTATAGATGATTAAGTTGCATAATACTTCCTTCAACCAAGATCTCATAAGAAAGCAAAATATGAAAATTAAGTAAACAGGGGCTGGAGAGCTGGCTCAGTGGTTAAGAGCTCTGGCTGTTCTTGCAGAAGACCCGGGTTTGAATCCCAGCACCCACATGGTGGCAAACAAATGTCAGTAACTCTAGTCCCAGGGGATCCAATGCCCTTTTCTGTCCTCTGCAGGCACTGCATGACACAGGTGCACTTACACACATGCAGGCATAACATTCATATACATAACAATAAAAACCTCCCACCCCAGTGTGCAGCATGAAGGCACCAAGCACAGCATGCTTCAAATCAAGGTGATCAGTGAATTTCCAACAGTTTCAAAATTCTGTCATTTTTCTAACTGACCGAGATACACTAAAAATACTTCTCTGGCCTTTAGGCAGAGGCAGGCGGATCTCTGTGAGTTCAAGGCCAGCCTGGTCTACATAGCAAGTCCCAGGCAAGATGGGGCTACAGGGAGACCCTGTCTCAAAAAGATCAAAAAAAAACAAAAAAAAAAACAAAAAAAAAACTTCTCTGGATGTCCTCAGAAAGTAGTCAAAGGGGAATGGAGAGATGGCTCAGTGGTTAAGAGCAGTGACTGCTCGATTCAGTTCCCAGCACCTACATGATGGCTAACATCCATCAGTATCTCCAGTT